ATGCCAGCCCAGGGTGATTATAGGTTGTCCGGAGAGGTGGTACAGACCCCTTCTCTGGAGATATTCAAGATCCACTTGGATGCTTTCCTGTGTAACCTACTGTAGGGAACTGCTTCAGCAGGGGGTTGGGTTGGGAGATCTCTAAAGATTCCTTCCAACCCCTGCCATTCTATGATTCTGTGATTTCAGAGGGCTGAGTGCCTGCAGGGCTGTCCTGGACATCAGGATTTTCAGCTGAATTCTGTAGGGATGCTTTGAGCATGGGATTGGATTCACTGTATACCAACATCAAGAGAAATACATACAATCAGGGACAAGACTTGTTTAGAAGAGCTAAAAGGAAATAAAACCCAATGTTTTATGCAAGTCCCCTCCCCAGTACAGCTACCAGGACGCCCACAAGTTTTGCAAGGTGATCTAAACCAGATTGCAGCAATATGCTGACCCTGCGTGGTTAAAAGCAGAGCCAGTTGACAGCACTTTAAGTTGTTTAGTGCTTTTAAAAGACAACATGAGCAAAAAAGGCAAATTCCAGGCATTGCACAGAGCCTGTCTGCTCCGTGCTGCACTTGCTCTGTTTAAGAAGGGCAGGAATTCAGAATGATGGCTCAGTGTGAAATTGTTCAAGTTAGGAATTTATTCCGTGGTGGAAGCGCTGCTTCTTTTTATCAATATCATTATTTTTGTTCCACCACTGCTTCTTTTTTTTCAGCATCTTTTCAATGGTGATTTAAAAACAAACAAACAAAAGGTTAGTTGTATCCTTTCTTGGGAAGGGATGGAATTCTGAAATGGTAATTTAAGCAATTTTGTTCACACGCGATTCACAAGCATTCTGGAGGAAAGATGATTAGTGGCAGTGTTTCTCACTTGGCTAAACATATCTCCTGCAATGATTTAGCTGTTCTTGCTCTCCTTTGATTACATAACATGAATTTTACACTACTTTGGGCGTTTTGGTGGTTAAAAAAATTGCTTACATACTGTGGTCAAAATGAGCCTTGGTGCTGGGTTGAGTATTAGTTGCTGCAAGATAGGGTAAAATTAAAGGCTTGCTGCTGTATAGCATGAGTTCCTTTATACGTCAGAGCCTTTTTGCAGAGTAGAAGTGCAGGAACAGCAAATACAGTGCCTTTAACAATTATTTACCTCAGCTGCGTTTTCCAAATCTGTAATTCTGCTATGTGCACTTAATATCCTTATTCCTTGCCATCTCTATTAACTTTATAAGTGAGAGTTGTGTAAGCTAATAAAGAGCTTGCTGACTTCTGAAGAGGAACCTAGCAGCTCCTGAGCCCTGCTTCCCTGCTCTTACAGACAGGCACTGGTTTCACACTCATCTGGTTGGACAAACCTACAACCTACAGATTTGTGCTGCAATATTTCAGAAGGGGAGAAAATGATAGTTTAAGGGAATGACATCAAGACAAGCTTAGAAATAATAAAAATTGACTTCTGTCTCAAAGGAAATGGAGAGTGGAAATGTATTTTCAGCACATCGGAGAAATCCAAGCGAGAATGAATGTTAATCGTTAGGCCAATCGTTATTGTGAAAGTTTTGAAGTTAGCTGCATGTTAATCTCTTCAACGTGTAATTTATCACCAGGTGATCACTCAGTGCACAGGTGCACAGAGTTTTGCATGTGGAATCAAACCAGTGTTCTGCCAGATTTACTGCCTGCCTTCAGCAGTGCCAGTACCTAGAGAGAACTTCTTCCCAGCCTCCACCATAAAGTGCTTGTGAGACCAGGTGCTGCTTGATGTGGAGGGCAAAGTCAGATTTATCCTTGTGAATGCCTCCAGTATCATCCTAAAAAAACATCTAGCTTGCAAAATATAACTCTTTCATCTTCAATCCAACAGGACATCCCAGCTAGTATCTCTGAGCGTGGGCCTTACCTTGCAGGCCTCTATGGGACTTGGCTATGGCATCACCACAGCAGGGCATAGGGGATGCCAGGGTGCCCTTGGCAGAGAGCTCCTTGTATTGGAGCTGCTGGCAAATCAGCCCTTGAGGAAAAAGCATGTGGTCCTTGGGCTTATTCTTGGTGCTGCTCTGTGGCAACTGGACCTGGAGAAGAAATGAAGTTTTCCTCGTCCTCGTCTCTTAAACCAGTTCAAGCAGCCATATGGAGATCCAACAGTCTGGAATTTGCCTTAGTCAAATTAATGAAGAGCTTAACCCAATGTGCAATGGACCTCATTTAGACAGGAGACCGTATCAGTGAGTGACAGAAGTATGGAAGTTGAACATGAAGATAGTTTTAGTCCAAGACTGGCTATTAGGACCCAACTCTAGAGGAAGCGAATGCAGAAGTGGTCTTTCACAAGTGGTTAGTGATGATGATGTGGTGCAAAGCAGTCTCTCCTCAGTCTACCTAGAACTCACAAATTGTAAAGTAATATTCTCTGCTGTTGTTTGATCCGGAGATATTTTAGAAATAGGGAGGAATTAGTATGTATGCTAGGGAAAGTGATGTGACTACCAATAAAATGTAGGGAATGCGTGGAGTCTTGAAAATGCTGAAACTAGGTACCCAATAAAACCCCAGGGTAAGACATTGACCTGCTCTTCTTTAAATTTATCAAGCTGTTTCACTGAACAGAGGCATTGATGAAACATGGATTTCTATGGCTTTGTGCCTACAGTTAGGCTTGTTGGTCTTTAACAAGACGCGAACATTGACTCAAGATTTTTGATTGAAACAGGACACACACACTCGTATGCACATGCTGAGCATGGATGAAGAAGTGCTATTTACTGTAGAAGGCAAGGTTTAAAAAAAGTGAGCTATGTAATGGAATATTCACAAAGACAAAGGAAAACATACATTGTAGTATTTGATCAAGTTACTAGTCCATGTACTAGTCCATCTATCTATCTATCTATATATACACATATGACTTTACAAGTACTAATATTTAAAATACATTTCTAAACTCTTTTTTTTTCAATTTTATGATTTTTTTTTTTTTCTTTCTTGAAAGATCAGTAATTGGGTGATACGCTTTGTTCCCTTCCAACATCCTATTGGATTTCGTCAGTTTAATGAATGCCTTAGCAATTATTTTGAGACTCTTGTATGTAAGAAGTAGAAAATCCATGGAAGATGACCATTGAGTATTGTGGCTGCAGTGTGTATCTTCTGCAGTGTATTTTGTGTCCTGAAACGGGGTTATGTGATAGAGATACACATCCAAGATATCAGATGGACAGTTTCAAGACAGGGTTATTGGCCTGTGGGCTGTGGTTCTCTGGGGAGCACCCAGATGTCCACACATCCTTGAAAGAGTCTGAATATAAGCTGCCTGTAATTGCCCAGGTTGTGCTCGTTCTGTGAGCACACAGAATGGTGAGAGCAAAAACTTGAAGGATAGCCTCTTTGCAAATCAGACCTTGCTTTGACTAGAGGACTGATATTGGTTGCTGGTAGCAGATGGTGTGTACTAAACATCTGCTGGTTGTAGCAACTGCATGTTCCCTTAGCCTGAAAAATTTACACATTTTTAAAGTTGGCATTCAGGTTTAAGACTATTTGTGATGGATTTAAATGAATTCTTTAAGCCTGTGAGCTTAGGAGTGTTAGATTTCACAAACTAAACTTCTATTTCTCATGTTGGTTGGCTTTAAAATATTTTTCAGTCAACTTTTCTGTAGAAACTGGTTTTTAGATTATTATTTTCCAAATATAGGTTTAGAAAGGAAAAATAAGAAATGACAGTTGTTGGTTTTTTTTTTTTTTTTTTTTTTTTTTTTTTGAATATGCTTTCCTTGTTCAAAAGAATAATGCTTGAATAACATATGCTGCAGTCACAGATGCTGGGAAGGAAGCATACAGCTTGCAGAAACCCAGTGTCTTATTTATGTGAAAATTAATGTGTGCACCTGAGTGTATGTCTGTAAAAGTAATTGGCGTGACATTCTTCAGCTATTAAAAGAAGAATTTGTAAGAATTGCCTTTATTTTTTTTTCCTCTGGAAAACTGCTGAAAGGAACTTTTACTACCATTTCTATACAGCTGGGGTTTTAATAGGTACGTTGTAATGTTTTTTAGCAGAAATAAGTGGGCTAGTGTTAACAGTTAGTTCCACAGCAACTGTCACAATGCAACTGAAAATTACAATTGAAAATAAGCAAAGCTTTGAAGATCATCACAGACTACAGCTTGAGAATCTCCACTAAGTGATATACTAAGTGAGAAGATTATTTTTGAAACAACGTTACAATGTTGATGAAGATAAAATCCCACTGTGTGTTTAAGCAAGATGAGCATTTCCTTCCTTAGAAATGCTTTTCCAAAAGCAGAGATGGAAGAATACCTCCAAACTGGTGAATACAACTATTTTAGGACTAACTTGTAATGTGGTGGTGCCAGTCCGTGCGTGTAAAACTGTAGGCAATGACTGAAAAAAACAGATGATTGAAGCAGTATTTAAACCTGAGTTCAGCCTCCTAAAAATACTCCTTACTCATATTTGTGTATTGACAGCAATTGGTGCATGCTGCTAGGATGAACCAAGCCCGCTTTTTTGTACCTCAGTGTAGACTGTAACTGAAATCTGATGTGTTTTGTGTTATTTCAGTGCTTGTTGAAGGAGGAGGAGTTTACTTATCTTAGGCAATAGTGTCATGGTTTGTCTGGGAACATATGGTGCAATAAGGTCAAGTTTCAAATTAATTCAAGGTTAATTTCAAGATATATATACATATAAAATGAAATGTGTCCTGATATTATGAATAAATGAATCCTTTCTAAATCATTAAAGAGGGGGAGCTTATGTCAGTATTATAATTTACTGAAGCTATTTGTTTTACTAACAGCTGTCATCTTTCATCACCGTTTGCCTTCTGATGCCCACTTTGATTTCAGTCCTCTCTGGAATTTCCTGATGGAGGTTTCCACCGTGAATAACTCCGCATCTGCTATATAACATGGAGGATGTTTATGTGCTTTGCCACTGACAACAGCCCTTTCTTTTTCTTCTCTTTTCTCTTTTAGAATCCAGTTTTTTGTTGGGAAATGCCCAGATTGTGGACTGGCCTGTAGTTTATAGTAATGACGGTTTTTGTAAACTCTCTGGATATCATCGCGCTGACGTCATGCAGAAAAGTAGCACTTGCAGGTAGGTTGTTCACTGCTACTCGATGCACTTCTATAGCTACAATCTAGGAAGAAAAATCAGGTTTTGGAAAAGGATCGATAGGAGATCTGTCTTGCAGAAATGAATATACTAGTGGTTGGTGACCCTGCACATAGCAGGAGGGTTGAAACTAGATGATCATTGTGGTCCTTTTCAACCCAGGCCATTCTGTGATTCTGTGATATGGTAAAACATGCAACCATATGCATTCAGTTGAGTACTTTGTTGACTGGTGCCCAGTAATAATATAATGACCAGTTTTACCAGGATTAAACAAACTACTCAGATACTTTGGTCCCTTGCTAAAAGTGGGGCAGTTTTTAGAGTCCTGCAAGACTTAATCCTAAATTAAAAGAAAGCTAAATTCCAATATTCTTTTTTAAAAAATTATTATTATTATTGTTATTATTTATTTAGAGCATCTACAAATTTAATGGGTTTCACTCGAGCCATTATTGAAGTCAAGACAAATCTTGGTTTTGAAATTCCTGTCATCCTCTGGTAATTGCTTAAATGCAGTGAGCATTGCAGTAGTAAAGACTGTTCAATGGAAAAATGTTTGATGAATTTTAGCACTGAATGAGGGCCAACTAGAGGTGTTCCTGAAGCTGGGGTAAATATTTTGAGGGTTTAGACATCATTCTTCACTCATTTGAAATCTGTCCTCATTAATATCACTATGAATGTGTTTTAATGGTCTGGTGAAGAAAGTGATATATACAAGTGATATATTTCAAAGTCAATTTTAGGAGATTTTTGTAGACTTTCATTCTGGAAGGCCTGCATTGTGCTACTCTGTTGCTCATATTGGTTCCTGTTGTTACACACACACTGAGAAGGCACAGTGATGTGCAAATGGCATCTTTATTCCCAAGAGAGCGATTAGGCTGATGATGTATTTACTCTGAGCATTGCAGCTTTATGGTTTGGTTTTTTTTTTCCCCTTTGTTGGTGGTCTTTCAGGGGTGGACAGCTGTGATTTATGGTTGGATGTGCATCTGCGCCTGCTCTGCTGCATCCTTTAAAAGGAAATGCTGTGGGAAAAGACTAAATCTCTAATGCGTGTGTGGGTGGGTGAGGAAAGTAACCAGGAGTGGTGGAGGCAGAAAGGAATGACTGAGATACCAGTTTGTGTAGGTTTTCCCTTGATGGCTCAGGGAATGACCAGCTCTAGGGCCCTGGGAATAGTGGGCTGCATATCTGCAGGGGTGAAATGCTGATGTGTGGTCATGGCTCTTGTTTGCAGGGAAGAGGAAAAGCCGTGGGGGTCCGGTGTTGCTCTGTGCAGCCAGGTGTCCTCCGATGGGCTGTGGAGGAGAGATGGGCACATGCTGCTGACACGAAATATTCATTCACGTGGCAGCAACCAAGTCAGTTACGTGATGGGGCTGAAAAAAACAGTGTTATCACAGCTATCCCAAATATGCTTACACTTGCTTTGCTCTTTTAAGCTGGGTCTGTTTCTCTGTGAGCCAGTGCTTTAGCCTGTGCATGTTTAAGTCATTACACACACAGAATGGGATTTTAGGAAAATGTTGGGAATAGCTTTAGCAATACCTCTTTGTTAATAATTCCCCTGTGCCTGTGAGGGGACCAAAAGTTTTAGTTAATCAGAGCGACCTTTATGAATGTGATGGACTCTATTTGGTAAGCATCCTGTTTGGGCTGTATTCAAGTGAATTATATGGAGGCAAATGCAAGGAGAAGTGATCATGGAAAGTGGATCTGGTAGCAAATATGTATGTACATACATATATATACGTATCTTTTGTATTTTTAATTCTGCATATCCATCTCTGGATTTTGGAGAGACTTCTCTACACTGAAATCATGATCAGCGCCTCTTTTGTGTCTGAGCCTTAGCTGATGGAGTTATATTTACAGTGTGATATTTCCTGCTCCTTAGGAGACATCCTAGTCATTGCAGAGGAGAGCTGAGCTGGAGAGGCATTCAGCACGGTCTGACAAGCAGCACACACCCTTGCAGAAAATTTCTTTGGGGCTGCTCTCTAATGAAGAGTTGTGTGGCTGTCTGACATGGAAAATGGTCTTGAGGCCAGTAGTGCCTTCTTAGCTTTACTTAATAGAATGCCATCGTAAGTTTTAGGTACCCAGAGCTATTATTTCTGTTATTTTCCAAGTCAGGTTCTCAGTCCTGATTTGCTGTGTTGGACTGAGATTGTTGCATTATGCATAAGAAATAATTTATACGGAATTTTTGCTTTCCTGTTCTAAGGCAAATGTTATGGGATAAGAGTGTTGTGATGCCACACTTTTATTACAGGATTTGATAGGATCTGTTTCTAGAGCTCGTTAACGCCAAAAATCCAACAAAAGAAAAATACACAGATAAAATCAATGTCAATCCAGATCTTGATACAAATTGTTATCTACTTATCGTAAGTGTGGTACAGGAAAAAAACAATTTTTCAGTTACTTGCCCTTGCCTATAAGGTATAGCAACTTCAATTTTCACCCATGCTTTTCTCCTGAGTAGTCCAGCAGTATTCATTATATCCTATTTATGTCTGTCACATGCCATACTATACACTGGGGCTGCTCATTTGTTGTGATGTTCAGTCTTGATTGATACTGGAATGGACGCGTGGCATTGCATTTGTGAATGATTTTTGATCCAGCTCAGGCAGCCAGGTAGTCCCATAGCCAGCTGGTAATCCCTCTGATTCTTGCACTTCTCTCATCTTTTTAATTAGCAACAATATATGCATTGGCAGGAAAATCATGCTGAAATAGCTCAATAGAGGTGCCAGTCTCTTAGTTTCAGGGACATTGTATAAAAGGCAAGGTACATATCACGCTTCCTGAATGTTGCATGATGGGGTGGGTCAGTGTGTGTTCTTTCTGGGAGCACAGTACACCAAAAATTGCAAAAATAGCTGGAACAGAATTTATCATGTAAGTGAATGCTAAAATGCATGAGAATTTTAGCTGGAAAAACTTGTGTGCTTGTGTTGTGGTGCCAAATGGAAAGGAGCTGCCGGTTCAGAAGGAAATGGGAGGGCATCTGCAATTGCAACACCTCTGACATTCAATTAACTGCAAAACCCTTGTCTGAAGGTGTGCTGCTAGATTAACCAGCGTGTAGGAGAACCACTTGTTTCATGCCCAGTTGCCCATAGATATGACAATTTATATGTGATGAGTACATAGAAAAAATGAACAGCTCCAGGCCATTAAAACCCTATTAAACGCCACAAATAATATCAGTATTTAAAATTGTTTCTTGTCAGTTAAGTTCAGTCTTCCAGGCAAGCCTTCAGAAGGGCAGACACCCTTAGGTGGCTGGTTAGTAGATCTGCCCTGCCATTTTGCACTTGGCTTTTGCCCCAGGCTTTCTTCTCCTTACCCTTCCTTGCACCTTGAGCTTCAGATCAGCATGGGAATAGCTGGATGCTGCTTTTGTTTTTAATGAGGAAACTTGCTCGGAGACCCGTTTGTGTGTTGCCTTCCAGCTGGACAGTGGGAGTAAATTGGATCTGCTTGCTGCAGTTGTTTACAGGTTGCATTTCCACTGAAACACTTGCGCGGCTCTGCTCAATGTCTCTGTTCTCCCTTGTTTTGATTTACTGCCACAGCAAGTGAGATGAAATGTCTGGGAGTCCTGGCTTCTGTGGAGCTAATGGCAAAATTCCCACCTTGCTCAAAGAAAAGGGGTTTTGCATTTTGGGTACAGTGTGCCAGACTTGAGACAAGTTAAATTTGATAGTGGGATGTTGCCTCTGTTAACAGATCTACCTATATGAGAAGACCCTCTGCAGTGCCAAAGCTGTGTACAAAAACTTTTCTGAGCTCAACAGTGAGACCCAAGGACCTGCCTCACTCCTCCTTGGGAAAGAAGCCTGCTCCTGAACTCAAAGAATTGTGGGGCTATTGAACCATAGAACAGTATTTGCTATTCCTCTTGAGTAGGCCTTGGTTGCTTGTAATTGATGTCTTTTCATCTGATACTTCTGGATAAACAGAGCTGTTAGCTGGATGTGGGTTCATATTCTTTCCATGTTTAATCTGCCCTCTTATTTGGTGAATTGAAATAGCCACAAACACCACCCTGGCATGCACTGCATACAAGGAGCTGCTCCAGTGATGCTTTTCTGGATCCGAACAAAGAAAATGGAAGCACAGTGCAAAGCTTTAGATGTGGCTTTCGCATGGAGGGATGCTTTCAGTGGAGGGCAGGAGGAATGGCATCTGAAATGGCAAATGGCCTGTTGCAGAGATGGGGAAGATTATGTAAGATTGTTTCTTTCTCTGAGTATTTCAGTAAGCTTTGTTTCTCTTGTTTCTCTTTGATAAGTCTGTTTTCTAGATAGTAAGATCCCCAGTAGCAGGCTGGCTGGCTTTTATATTTATGTCTTGTACAGTGTGCACTGAAAGAACTTGACAAGCAATAAATAACAAAAATATGAGGCAGAAAAAGACAGAGTGATTGACTGAAGAAGTAGGAGTCCCTCCATGTATACAAAATAGGACAGATTAAATTAAACCTATGATAAGCACAGATCTTATATAACTTGCACAGTGATTGGCTTGAAGGCCCTTTTGGTGCCTGCTAGTAAAAAATTGGCTTCTGAAAAATAGTTATTTCCTTCCACAAGCCTTTTAAATGCCTCTTTATACATGAAAACAACGCAAGATTTGAATTTTACAGATTTATGACAATAATAGGCTGATATTAAAACATAAAGTTGATTAAATTTTTAATTCATAGAATGGCTTTAGTTGGAAGGGACCTTAACGATCGTCTAATTCCCACCCCTCTGCTGTGGACAGGGCTGCCACTCACTATATAAGGCTGCCCAGGGCCCCATTCTGCCTGGACTGGAATGCCTCTATGGCTGGGGCACCCACACCTCTCTGGACAGCAGTGCTGGGGCTTCACTGCTCTCTGAATAAAGAATTTCTTCCCAACATTTAACCTAAATTTTCCATTCCAGGAGCCTTCGCTGCTCCAGACTTAACAAGCCCAGCTCCCTGCAGCTTTTCTTCATAGCAGAGATACTCCAGCCCTCTGAGCATCTCTGTGGCCTTCCTCTGGTCCACCTCCAACAACCACACCCCTCTTGTACTGGGGGCCCCAACCCTAGATACAGTGCTCCAAATGGGGCCTCGTGGGCAGAACAGGGGGGAACGGTCTCCTCCCTGCCCCAACTGCCACCCCTCCATTGATGCAGCCCAGGATACTGTTGACTACAAGTACACACTGCGGGCTCACGTCCAGCTTTCCACCAGGTAGACCTAACGTATAGGTCAGCGCTTGTAGCATTATGGATGGTTTGACATATTAATGGTAATCAGTGACAACTTTCTGTGTTATAAAGCCATCTAAAGTCATAAGTTTAGCAAATTTTCATTATTTTTTTCCTTTGAGACTTAAGAAAAATGTTTTTAAGCCTTGAGATGACAAACCCCCCACCCCCCCCCAAAAAAAAAGAGATCCCTCCCTCAGCTCTTATTTTGTCTTGCAGATTTGAGCAGTCTTCTGTACCTCATCAGTACATTGAAAAGGGTTAGATTTAAAAAGAAAAGCATTCAAGCTTTTGTTTGTTGCCAGCTCGTGTATAAAACACTATTGGCTGAGCTGCTAAAGGAAAGGCAGGCCATTTGAAAGCGAGCAGCAAGCTGTGTTTTGCATTCCCTGAAGAGAACTATGTGAGTTAGTGACATGTGGTACCTTAATGAAGCCTCCTCCCCAGTAGTGTTCTGTCCTGACATCCATCACTGCAGCGACATCTCCATTGCTGTGCTGACCCAAGGCTGACAACACCATATAGTGGGAGCAGCCCTATCACCTCCCTGAGCCAGTTGTAGGGAAAGGATCCACCATCCAGCCTTCATTGAGTATTTTAATGTTTGCCAGGGCTCTAATCACTGTGTTGTTTTATTGTTTCTTTCAGAACAGTGGGCATAATATAAATATTTATTGAACCTCTGAAGGTCTGTTGATCAATAAAAAGGGAAGCTGGATTTAAGCCGCAGCAGCACTGATAGCCTTTCTTTTTCCCTCTCATATTCATAGGGCTGTGTGTTGTAGGTTTCAGCTGGAGCTCAAAATGTTTGTGAACAAAGAAGATGGAGGGGGGGAGTCTGATCAGTGAGGATTGTATTCATCCAAGTGTCTGAAAGCTTTTATGCCATGCTCCATTTTCCTTCAGTTCTATAATTGGGAATTTGCACAGAGCAGTCTTCACCTATTTTTAATCCAGGGGAGATGACAAGAAACGCCTGGCTGTTTTCTCATAAAGGCTTTCACAAGTAAGGTCATTGCGGGTGGGTTTACTTGCACCAGTTGAAAGTCTGACCTGGAAAAGAGAGCAAAGATGAAGTGGTCAAGGTGCAAGAAATAGCAGGGCTAAATTTAGGTTTTTCTAATCTTTGTCTGGAGAGACATGAGTCTTCAAAAATATTTCAATGTTTTTCCATATTTTCAGTGAAATATTAAAGAAATGTGCTATACCGTAAGAAAAAGTGAGTGTGTGGTTACCTTTAGAAGTAATGCAGATATAGCTACAGTGGGACAACTCTGAGTGAATTCTCAGACAATCGCAGTAATTAGTTCTTACTGGGTAATTCCTACCTCAGTTTGTAATTGGTATTTAGATAAAGGATTCTGATCCTCTTGTCCCAGATGCATGTTGGCAAGATTAGATCTGCAACCATCAATATTGGTTCAGCCGACAGCTGTTACCTGCTGCAGGTCCTTGTCTTCCTTCAGCATCCTTTTCGAGGACTGAATGAAATTTGAGATGTTTTAAAGGTTTTGCTCAGTGATCTCCAATTTCACAGCAATATTCTCATGGCCTCAAGCTGTGGCAATAATGGTTTTATAGGCTATCAGCTGTTTTTCTAACAATATGCCCTTAAAGATACGCTCAGAAAAGCACTTAATGAAACATTAGATGACAGCAAATACATCTACTTTACATAAAAAAGGCAGTGATGGTTTCTTACTATTGTAGGTTTTGTAACAGCCTTGCGACACAAACTATTTAAATGAAAGTAAATGATAGTTAAACTATGGTAAATGACAGTGAATAGCATCCCCAATGGCTATGCAGTCTGAGGTGGCTGCTTGTTGTTTTGCTTGTCTAGGACGAATAGAAAAATGTTTTTTTTTTCTTTTTCAGTTTTATGTATGGTGAACTGACAGACAAGAAGACCATTGAAAAAGTCAGACAGACTTTCGACAACTATGAGTCAAACTGCTTCGAAATTCTCCTCTACAAGAAAAACAGTATGTATATATTTGTGTATTGTGTTGGGAGTGATAGTGTGTATTTGTTATATGTCTATTTATACTGTGATATATCAGTGATGCACTATATGTGTGTATATATATATATATCACTGTTGTGATAGCGCAAGGGGAAATGGTCTCAAACTGCAAAGTGCAACAGGTCTGGATATAAGAAACAAATGTTTTACAATAAGGGTGGTGAGGTGCTGTTGCAGGTTGCCCAGAGAGGTGATGGATGCCCTATCCCTGCAGACACACAGGGTTAGGCTGGACAGGGCTCTGAGCACCTGATAGAGCTGTGTGGCTGTCCCTGTTCACTGCAGGGGGGTTGGACCGGATGGCCTTTAAGGGTCCCTTCCAACTCAAAATGATTCTATGATAACGTGCTATAATATATTTAATATATGCAATGGGTATATATGTATATTATAATATATAGAGAAGTGTATAACTATATACCAGACTAAAACAGTCATTTTGACATACAGATAAATTAAGGGACAAGATGCGGGGAAGAAATGGGTTTTTTTGTCATCACTGCGCAGGAAAGCTCTTTTTTAAAGCAGAACAAGTGTTCAGATTGCCAGGGCTAGCAGGGGTTACCTGTATCTCAGATCTGAATCCTTGTTTCCAAAATATGTTTAATTTTGAAGATTGTATTCTGAAAGGGAATCTGACTGGGTTTGATGAGGAGAAGAAATTCTCAATGAAGTTTCCCCTCAGGAAACATCCCCAAATGTGCAGAAGTAAGAAGCCATTCCCTCATTTTGTGAGTGGTTGCTCCCAGTGGTGGAGATGCCTCTGAGCTGTGAGGCTGTGGAAAGCAGTGGTGAGCCCTGAGGAAAAAGCTGTCTATGCCTGATTGTCCTTTTCACTGCAAACTCACATAAACCCTTAAAAACATTGAAGAGAGCATGCAGGATACCTCAGCTTCTCAAAACATACTCCTGTGCCTAACTTCTGCCTTTCCTTTTTAAACTAAATCTTGTTGTATGTGCACTTAAATGATAGGAAGCATCTTCAGATTTCTGCAATTCTGCTTGCTTTGAAGCATCTTAGTAAACACTAATTAAAAAGAGAAGCAGAAATGGCTCTGAAGTCTGGCTGCTCCTATAAGTGCCTGTGATAACTCTCCAAATGACCTCCTTTCAGTTCCTTGGCATATGGACGTATTCCCTAGATTTTGTGTCTACCTGCCCAATTCCTATACAAGTCACCTGGTTACCCTTTCACATTATGGAGATTTTGTGGGACAGACCCCAGTTTTTTGCAGGTGATGGCGCCCAGCACCACCAGGCCTGGTGTCCGGGTGTTTGCAGGAGAAGATTTCAGCCTTTCCCCAACCCTGGCTTCTCTGTTAAATTAGAATGGTAGCTCCTGCTTGGCATGGGCCAGTTCTGAACCAAGTTCCTTTTCATTATATTTAAATATAAAAAGTCGAAAGTCTTCCCTTGGTCATCGTTCTTGTTCATTGTTGATTTTTTGCCCTGAGTTGTAGATTGCCTGCTTGATCTTGATGGTGTGTTAGGGATTTATTGAGCTGCAGTTGCCTTAATAAAATATTCACCTTTGCCCAAATCTCTAAACCTGTACTTTCTGTAAGATGGGTAGGATTACAGAATGACCTCATGAACAAACACTCATTTTTTCTTTTTAGTCTTGAAAAAATTCCCAGCCATAATATGTTGCCAGCTTCTTCTCCATCGCCCAAAGCCCAGAACTTCAGCCTCTTGCTAACACCTAGTACATAGGTTCACCTTTTGGTTCCAGTTCAGCAACTGGCTTGCGTTGGATTCGCTTCCATCTGTCACACACCAAGCTTTGTGAAATAAGGTTCTTCAAGAAACTGTGTGCTTCTCTTCCAGGCTGAATATTGGAGCAGACAGTAAATAAACAATAGTATCTGTTGGTATAGTATACTTCTGAAAAATTTAGAGTTACTCTGTATAAAGGCTTGTGTTTATCACCTGCAGAGACCTTGTACTGCTTCTCTCCCGTGCGGAGCTTGTAGTGCTCACCAAGCACTTTCCCACCTGGTGATGCAGTGGCACAGACTGCCCAGGGATAGGTGGAGTCACTGGCCCTGGAGGTGTTCAAGAACTGTGGAGATCTTGAACAGGGAGGGACGTGATCAGTGGGCATGGTGGGGGTGGTGTGTGGTTGGACTAGATGATCTTAGGAGCCTTTTCCAACCTTAATGATTCTATGATTATGTAAGCTCCAGAAGTGCTATATATTTTTATTTGTACCACAGCTTTTCCTTTCTTATTCATTCCCTTGTGTTTTCAGGAAAGGGAGATCTTGAAATCGAGAAATTCCTTTCTATCCTCCTGTCCTTCAGCACAGTGATGACCTTTCAGAGCTGTCGTTCTCAGGCTGCATACATAGGGCTGCTGCCTTCACATGCATCCTTAGTTTTTAACCTAGTTAGCAGTTTTCAGTGCAGATCTTCAAGTTTGCTACAGATTTCTTCTGTTTTACTGCATTCCTTCTTGTGTAGCTCTCAGCTCTACCCACCTAGCTATTCGGCAGCCGTGTAGGCATGTACATGTATACGTGTAACACTTGGGAAACTGCCTTGCCTGCTTTTGAGCTCCTGCCCAGATTGCAGTTTCTACAGCACTACCTACCTTGCCTCTATCTTTGATTTTTAGCAGTGCTGTTGTACAGGTTATTTTGCCTACTTTTGGAGCTTTTCAAAGGGTGCTGTTGAGTTGCCAGGTAAAAATGAAAGCACAGCATCACTCCAGAGAGCTGCAGCACTCTTTCTTAGAATATATGAAAAGAGCCTTTTATCTTGGGTTAGCAACTGGGAATAGAAAGAGCCAAGTAATCAGCATAATGGCTCTGGAATTACCACCAAAAGCAGTCTCCTGTCTCACTCACCTCTCCAGTTTGCTGTCATTGAGTTATTGCTTTAATCCCAACAGAGCAGTGCTGAGTTTTACCATGAACCCTTGTGGATTTTGACTTTCTCTACAGCAGTCCTGTTCTGAGTGGGTTTTGTTGCCCTCTGGGTGTCCATCACTCGGTTCCTGGCACAGCTCCCAGATGGATATGGTATATTAGAGGAGATTTGGAGGGGCCAGCAATGCCCTGGGATGTCAGGGAGTGAGCAGCTTGTTTCAGTGTGCCAGCGCTCAGGCTGGCATTCAGACAGCTTAGGAGAAAAGCCATCATATCACCTGACTGAAAGCACATCAAATCCGAAAGCTGACTGTGAAGGCATTCGTTGGGCAGCAAGTGGAGGTGTCGTAAAGCTGGGAACATGTGGGCTTGGAGTTTTGTCTGGTGGCATGCAGCTCTGACACTCACGTCCTTGCAGATGAACAGGGAACTTCTCAACGAATGTTTGAAGTCTTTTAGGGTTTTGCCTATTTGCAGAGCAGATCTGCATGTACTTGTGGAGCCTGTTGCAATGAGAAAATGGAGGATGTGACTATAGACAGGAAATCAAATCTGCTTATTTGTCTAGTTAGGGCATTTAGATGTCTGAATTAGTTTGAGTTCTCTTAAACAACAGAGTAGCATCAAGTTGGATATTAGCCATTCAGATCAGATAGAAGGAAAAATTTCTTCTCGGGAAGAGTGGTGAAATATTGGCACAGGCTGCTCAGTGAGGCAATGGAGTCACCACCCCTGGAGGTGTTAAAAAAAATTGTGGAGATGTGGCACTGAGGGACGTGGTCAATGGGAAGTGTGGTGCGTATGGGTTAGGTTGAACTGTATGATCTTATTGTTCTTTTCCAACTTTAACAGTTCTATGACATTTCAAAAGCATTTGGCAGTGCACTCCATCAGTTTTGGTTTTGGTAGCTTCATATTATGTGAAGAAGCATTCAAAGATGTCCTCAGTCTGGTTTTTTTTCTTACCTGGCTATCCTGCACAGAGACATGGTGGGGAAGACCAAGAGCAAGTTCTGTCTCTTGTTATGGACTAGTTAGATTGGTAGCATCACCCCCATTCAAATTTAAGAATGAGAATAGGTTGTTTTCCTTTGAGGAGGTAAAATGAAATATCTGGTATGTGTAGTTTAGGATCACATCTTGGTATTACTACATGTGTTTTATATGATTTATAAATTATCCAATGGACAGGTTGGGGGAAGACTGTGCTACACCACATCCAATGTCACCTTTTTGTCACCTTTTCTACAGGAACCCCAGTTTGGTTCTACATGCAAATTGCTCCTATAAGAAATGAGCATGAAAAAGTGGTTTTGTTCCTGTGCACTTTTAAGGATATCACTTTGTTCAAGCAACCAATAGAAGATGATTCAACAAAAGGTAAATATGAAATACACTATTTTTTTTTTTTTAATTTTTTTTTGTAATTGGTTAAGTACATGTTCAGGCTTAGTCATGTCTAATGGCTGTGATCTGAATCTTGCTTTCAGGAATTGTTTTGTGACATGTCAGAGTTTAGATGCCGTTTTTGGAAATGATTGATTAGAATTGAAAAGTAAATCATTGTGAGCAGAATATTCCCTAACAATGTTTCGCCGGAGCTGCAAACCTTTTAACTTTGTAATATCAATTTTTCTTCACCATGGCTAGTATTTGCTAAAAGTGGCATGATTTTTAGTTACTGTAATACTATGTTGCTTTGGGAGACCTTCTACAAAACTTCTGTTTTCTGTTTATCAAAAATGTCAACTTCTTTGCTTTGAAGTGTTGGTCTTACCTCCCTTTCTTATTATTGGAGCTGAGATGCAGAACAAACAGCCCATCTGGGTATCTTTTTGCTGACCAACAATGATGTCTGTATGGCAGTGGATGTTCTGCTTGTTTTTGATAGCTCTTGCTGGTGATGGTTGCTGAGGCATGCAATGCTCTCATCACCTGATGACCCATGTTCAACAGAGAAAATTGGTGGGCGAAAAGGTGCAGAGGATCTGGCAACGTTCTGTGCTCTGATTGTAAGATGCATGACTGGTGTCTCGTGTATATTGCTCTGGATAAAGGAATGTGTGCTCCCATAAGCAAGGACATTTTTGCTGTGGAATCCTTACCCCATTTTCTCTAGGAAGTTGTCTTCTAGTAATGAATTCCTTGCTCTGTTTTTCTCTTTGTGCTTGTAGAAGGCTTGATTTCTCGCTGAGAGCCATGTGCCCTCTGAGATGCTGTCTTTAGGATAAAACTCGGTCATTTGAATGCAACCAATTTAAATTGCTTTTTGATGATATATAGCTAACACATGCTTGGGTAACTGAAATGTAGATTGAGAAAGTCATACTTGAAAAGCCTCTCTTTGTTCTAACACCTAAAAATAAGACTTTTTTTTTTTTTTTTTTTTTTTTTTTGCCTACAGAGTATTATCTGTGAGTTAAAAGATCCAGATATAGGAGAACCTTCTCAGCCAGCATAAGTTTTACTGCTTCTACAATTCAGTTGGTATCCTGCAAATGTTCCTTTGGGTTCTCAGCCTGGGAGGTTTGTTCTCTGGGTAGGGAGAGATGTTCTGGGGATGCTGAGTTCATCCCCTCCCCATCTTGTGGCTGAGGAAGAGCAGAATCCACCTGGCATCCATTATGGAAACAATATGTGTTCCTATGGGAAAGAGCAATAGCTGCAAAGTAAGTAATGAGTCTAATGCTGTGAGTCTCCAGTGAGGGGAACCATTAGTTACAGTGTCAAGTATCAACTATGAACATTGCAAAATATTGTCATCAGCAGCCAGAGAGGTTTGACTGCATGTTTAAAGAGCTCTTACTTCTGTAGAAGTTGTATTTCAAAAACAAACAAACAAAAAAGCAACAACCAAACAAAATAAACAACAAACAGTACAGCTACATCTGTCTTTAAGGCATACAATTAGAGCCTTAAGAATTTCCTTGGAGAACTCTGATTACAGCATTGATTAACACTGATCAATACATCCAGCAAACTCCATAATTACAAACCACTGACCTGACTGTTTTCTTCTCCTTATGCGTATTTTCTTCTGTTTTTGCATAAATTGGAGTTTCTTTTATATTGACAATATATTAAAAAATCATATTCAAATATTAACAACGTTTCACTGCTGGAAAAGCAGCACCATTGCAGTACAGTTTGCATTTCAACTGTGTGGATCAGCAGGATCCCACTGCACTGGGATCACAGCCTTGTTTTGTCAGAGGTAGTGCTGTGAGATATGCATAATTCATTGTCCTTGCAGATAACATTACAATGTGCTTAGAAGCTGTCAGGCCACTTTCTTTTTGAATTATGAGATTGGTAAACATATACATTACAATTTAGGGGAGAAATTTTCAACTTTTGTAAAAAGGTTTTTTGATAGGATTGTGCTGCTAAGTGCTGGGATTTGTCATTGGAAGGGCTATTTAAAAAAGAAAAAAAAAAAAAAAAAGATTTTCCTTTGGAAATTCTGCCAGGACCATGCAATACATAATACATAAGTAACTATGGTGCAGATGAGTTACTGTCTATTACTTATGGGAGCAGTAAATTTGAGATAAAAAATTCAGCAGAAATAAAATATTGATGCCATTATGCAATAATCTCCCCATACCAATGCATTCTGCCCTGTTTGAATATACGTTGCTTTGTTGTAAAGCTTCAGTGTATCACACTCCTTGGAGGTACAAGGATTTGGTATTTAAATCATTACAGTGGGTGTAGCTCTGCTGCAGGATGTCTGCATGTCAATAAATGGTTGTGCTTGCTGGCCACACTTGTGGCTGCAAAACAGTTGGTGTGTGATGCCCTCCTTTCTTGGGCAGCTGCTGTTTTGGGGAACCAGCAGTGGTGCCTCCATAATGAGGATGCAGACGTGTTCAGAGGTGTTGGGGAGCTCGTCCTGTTTGTGAGAACAGGACATTAAACCAAAATATTCATCTTACTGCAGAATACCCTACACCCACCTTGCAAGGCAGAGGTGGGATTTTTGCCCAACATAGGCTCAAAACCACAACTGCTGAAAGGCACAGCACAAAAAATATAGTTGATATCACATGGACTGGCCCTGTGGTAGGGAAGGGAGTTGGAGAGGGCTGGGGCACTGTGACAGATGGTGGGTGTCTGCTTACCTGTGTGCTCACATTTGGCTGTGCTCATGCTGTCAGAAAAAAGGGAAGAGGAGGAGGAGCAGGAACAGGAGCAGGAGGAAGGGGCTGTGCTTGCAGGAGGGAGCAAAAGGGGAAAAATGTTCCAGGTCACCCAGCAGGCTGTGAATTTATTGCTGTCCAGAAAGCTGTTGAAGATTATGGGACTGAAAAAGCATGACTGGAGAAAGGGAGTATTTAAAAGTTACCCTCCTCAGGTAAAATACATTGTCAGAGATCAGAAACCTCAATTTTCTGAGCATACAGTGAGTACAACAGTGAGAATGTGACGGACTTATTTTCCTGACCTATCATGTGGGATACTGTTATAAAACACAGAGCAGTTTATTTGTTATTCTGCTAATCCCACTGACAGAGAGACGTTAAGCGCCTTGGATTCCTTCTGATTCTCCCTCCACCCCTCCAGGAGCATGCATACACCTCTAAAGAGTTACAGAAAATGAAGACATGACTGAAACACCCAAGCAGTGTTTTAGCCAGTGTTTAATAAGCGGTGTTAACAGTGACCAAAAAGTAGTTGTATCCTCATAACTGGGAAGAGTCTGACTGTGAAAGCCTAAATTAATAGGCTGAAGGGAGGCCTCTTGGTGGTCTGCATCTCCTCACAGGGAGCAGAGGGACACCACTGAGCTTTGCTCTTTGTGACAGCAACAGGGCTCGAGGGAATGGCATGGAGCTGTGTCAGGGGAGGGCAGCTGGGGGTGAGGGAAAGGTCAGTGGGAATGGAGCAGGCTGCCCAGGGCAGTGGGCACAGCCCTGAGCTGCCAGTGTTCAGGAAATGCTTGCATGCTGTTCTCAGACATAGGGTTTGGGTTTTGGGTGGTCCTGTGTGGAGCCACGGGTTGGACTCCGTGATCCTTGTGGGTCCCTTCCAACTTGGGATATTCTATGATTCAGTGATGCAAAGTCCACAAAACCAGCATCTCATGTAGAAGTGGTTAAGGCAGTGATAACAGGAGGAGACATCAGTGATACACAGGGTGTGTTTACTCTTGGATGAAGATGCCACCAGCAGTTGTGTAGGTGCAGAGAGAAGGGACAAGAGCGATCTGTTGACTTGTTTGATGGTTTGTAGGCTTGTGTGTTGGTGGCTACGTGAATTGTGATCAGTGGCAGCATGGAAGGAGAGGTGTGAAGACTAGTGATGGGGCAGGGAGGTGGGGCAGGTGTGATGGTGGTCACCAGGACAATGCATTATTTGCCATTGAAAGAGCTGTGCTGTGTTTTGTCTGCTTTTTCTTTCCTTGTACCTCTTTGGTAGTATGAACATTTATCTGATCTGGATTCAGTACTGGGCAATAGGTCATAATAGGTCATATCTGTGGTGGTGAAGAACCAGCTCTCCAGGTGTCCGGACTGAACGCCTCACACAGCAGAAGTGGAAGGCCATTACAAGCATAAGAAGGTATTTTCTTCCAGAGCATAAAACCCAAAGAATCTTCTCTTTTATGTTTGTACCATTCTAGGGTCACAGTTGGATGCTTTTATCAGCTTGCTGTGCTCTTATTCTGCCTTTACCCAGTGGCCTTTTAAAAGCATCTGAAAGCATTCAGCCCCTCCAAAGGCACACAGTGGTAATAATCTTATGTTTATTTGTCAGGAAAAAAAAAAAAAAAAAAAAAGCCATTTTTCTAGGCCCTGTTAGGAGGGCAAATTGGTCCACTTAAAATTTTAACACAGTTTAAAGCCAAGAATACTGTAGATGATGTTAAACTGAAAGTTTAAGCAAGGAAGAAGGCTGGAATTTTTTTTTTTAGGTTATGGTGAAGTGCAACCTAGTTACACAATAGCTTTTTTTCCATTGTTATCACCAGTGAAAGAAAAACATGGCCTCCAGGTAAAGTTAAAAGTTTGCTTGCCTGGGATTCTCACTGGTTGTTTTGAGTCTCTTTTGAAAGAAGTATCAAGCTTTTCTGCAGCTGCAATTGGCTGGGAAGTTCCTGTGAATACTGATGGAGATGGAACCTTTGATTAGGGTGCAACAATGTGCTAATGAGGCTCCTACAGCTCTGGACTGCGTGCCCTTAACAGATGGGATCTGGAGATGGCACAGCAGTATCCTAAAGGGTTTTTTCATGGTACTGCCAGACTTTGATAATCAAGACTGTCTGGGACAATGCTGTACTGCTTCTAGTGATATAACTCTTTATGGTTATATAACTTCATATAATGATACAGCTGTATCTCAGAGTGTGACAGGGCTATAAAAAGTGTGCTAGT